TTTATTTAAAAATAATGATTTTAATAAAAACATTGAAATTAATATATTTGTTTATATTATTAATAAAAAAAATTAATATTTATTTATTAATATAAAATAAAAATATGTTTAAAAAATTTAAATTTTAATATATTTGTAGTTAATTAACTTATTGTTTATAATTAATATCTTTATCTAAACTTTTTAAAGGATATTCCTCCTTTTTAAAAAAAAATTTAAAACTATTCAAAGAAAGCAATAAATCAAAATTATGAACTTTTAAGTATAAAGAGAATTATTTAATAAATTTTTAAAGTTGATAAAATTAAATCAAATTTAAATTTAATAAATTTTAATAAATATTACTCATTTTAAATATATTTATTTACTTTTACAAATTAAAGTTTTTACATTTACAGATTAATATATATAACAAAATCTAAATTCTTTAAACTACATTTTTTTTTTATAATAAATAATTATAATATAATATTTAATTATAATATAAAAATTCATAGATATTAATTTTTAATATTATAATAAAGTAAAATTAGATTTTTCTTAATTGAAAATTATAATATTACTGGATATTTTTAAATTATGACAAATTATATAAACAGCAAAAATGTATTATAAATTAACTAGAAATTAGATCGAATGAAATTAAAGACTGAATTTGATTAGCAATAATCATACTATTCCAAAAAAAAAAAAAAAAAAAAAATACCTTAGTGTAAAGATAAAATAATAAATAAAAAAATTTTTTTTCGTAAGATTTACTGTTGAAGATTTGGAATTAAAATATTTGTTTATTATATAAGTTCAAAAGTTATTTATTTGATAACCATTATTATTTAGAAGATTTACAATGATACTTTCTTTCTAAACTACTTCTTGCATATTAATTTCGGGTTTATTCATTTTCAAGTATTCCCTATATCGTTTACTAAGTTCTTCTGCCATGTTCGCACGTTCTTCTCTCTCATCTTCTGACAACGTCTCCAATACTCTATTACTAGCTTTATAAAAGAGTAAGCTAACAAGCTTTCCATCGTTATCCATTCCTATCTCAACATCCTCCACTTCGGTTTTCTTGAATTCGACCATGCGTGGAGTATAATTAACGAGATTAATCTCCAAAATATCAGAATCTTCATGATACATGTGATTAATCACAAAACGTGGATTTCCTTGAACGAAGGATACATGTAATACATTTGATGCACCATATATTTCGATAGCTGCTATCTTGTCTTCATGGTCATAAGATAATAGAAGGTCATCAGTGATATCTTCACTTTGATATACAAGACCTAAAGACATTTCTAACATAAAAATTTCCAAATTATCCGTGTCATTATAATAATCGAAGTTTAGACCAGACCTAAACGTGGAAAAAAAATGTTATGTATAGAATAGTAGAAAAACGTTTAATATTTTTCTAAATAATAAACGAACCATTTTGTATTTTTGAATTTCTTCCCAAATAAGAATCGAAAAAATGGTTCTGAAATTTTAAAGCGTTTTAATATA